GAATCTACATATTCAACATTAACATTGCCAAATCCCTTTTCCATTTTCCAAAAAAAAAAAAAAAAAAGTGTGAAGGCTTTGAAAGGATAAACAGATTTTTTCCAACTAATAAAGTAGCTAACAATGCTTGCAAAAGAACATGTCTTAAATAGTGCAAAGTGTGCTACAATAATCATGATAATTGTAGATATAAATCTGACACACAAAGCAGTACACTGCTGAAATGTCATAAGAAACTGTCTTGTCTAGTATGTTTCTTAAGTTTTTCAAGGAAAAATATGGTAACAGAACAGAAAAAAAATCCTTTGCTATTTCATTTGAGATGTGGTTTCCCCTTAAATATGCTAACTAATACCTGAAATAAAATGACAATACAAAAGTCTTGAAAGTTCATCCACTGTAGCTTGTTCTCCAGAGACCTTAGTGGTAGCTTTGTATGTATGAATAAAGCCTAGAGGCCCTATAACCACTTTGTTAGTTCTTCAGCTTTTATCCTTTGCCTCTTGATGGAGAACACCATTTAGGTATGCACAGATGCATGACGCAAATGATGATGCATTTACTGTTACCTCAGAGAACTCCTTCACTTTCCTCAATTTTTATCTTGCTTAGTGGATGGCTTGTATATGGATGGAATTAATTCACCTTGATTTAGCTTCAATTTTCTATTTCTGCTTTGTCTTAGTTAGGAGGCCATGATTTAGAATATAGAGAGTTGCCACTCAGATGTTCTCTCTGAAGTCTTCTGCAGTTTGAACATAGGTGCTTTATGACCTGTCCGTAATAACACACACATTTTTTTGGAGCTAGCATTTTGTTCAAGTTCTATCCACACACATTAACAGCTCTATTTTCTACTTATTAATGTTGACTTTAGCACGACAGTACTGTATAATCATATTTTAGCTCCTTTATCCTGTCTTTGCAATAGCTTTATCAATTCTGCACTGATAATTTTATTTGTCACTAGTCCACTTCCTTCTTCTTTTAAATAAATATATTAACAAAAATCTTGTCCCTCATATTGCAACTTAGCGTATTTCCTCGATCACTATATTCCATGCTTTGCAGTTCAAGTTATCTCAACACTTTGCTTCCTATTATTTAATCATTCTTTGATCTATGGTAGATTTTTTTCTCATACAGCAAAATGACAATACACTTTCTTAAAAGTTGAATCTGAGATGCTCTGGTGAAAACCTTATTAAAATCCAAATAAAAATATCAGTCCATCCCTTCATTATCATCTGCTTAATTATCTCTAAGTAGTTAAAAGATATCACTCAGTAATTTTGCATTTAAATATGGTATATCCTGTAAAGGCTTGAAACACACAGATTATTTCAATGGTTATATTGTCTCAGTGATAACAAATGGTAACATACAGAAAACTTCCTTCTAGAACAATTCATGTTCTGGGATATATTGAAAGGAGCCAATTATTTCAACTGACCTTAGCGTAGTAGCAACATATTCTAAAACAAAGCTTGTTTTATACTACAAAAATGTAGCTATCTGCAGCTTGTTTTTGAAAATCAGGAGTGGTTAGGATGATACTCAGATTTTTTTTTTCTACATCATGGTTTCAGATCTGCGCCCATCACGGTTATTGGTAAAAATCTCAGGTAGATTCATCTCTTCTGGAACCTGCCATGAAAACCAAAGAAGAGTTCAGTGCATAACATAAATAACTCATTTTGTCCTAAGAGGATATTAATGAGCACTCATAAGGTCATTCTCTTTATATGTATTACTTATTTATTAACAGTAATCCCGACTTACATCAGCCAGCAATCCTGAACTCTAAGGAATAAATTCAGGGTGTTACTAATAAAGGAACACCTTAACATTCACTCTAGAATCCAGTGTGCAAAAGAACTCTGAGGAAACAAGGTGTCTACCTCTAAGGAAACTGAAAGAAAGTTGTATACCAAACATAACCCCTCCTTTCCTATTAAAGTTCACTTATTTCTATGAGTACTTCTGCTGATTCTACAGGACCTTCGTCTGAGCACCACCGTATTGTTATTACTGCTGAGCGATAATTCAGTCATTCACATGCTGTGAATTCTTCAGTCACACTACAAAATGTTGTTTTTCCTGCCATTTTTCAGCATGTATATAAAGCAGCCTGTTTCAAGTCTTGCTGTAATGCCTGTGACTCAAGATCAAACAGCTAGTGACTTTCACAGATATCATTAAAAGGTCTTTTTTAGGTTTGCAACTTCCCCTTAGCCCACAAGCTTTCTCTGGCCAAAAGCCAAATTGCATCATTTTTGTCAGAGGTTTATTCATGAGAAAATTTATAAATTCTCTTTTGGGTTCACAATGTTTTATTTACATGGAATTTATATACTGCTTTTTTTTTTTTTTAATCTTGCCTTTTTTGAGCTTTCCTAGCTTAAAAGACAAACTTGAGACAGCCTAATTTAAGAATATATTGTCAGCCTATACTGAAGGGAGATACAAGAAGCCTACGAACAGAACTGTGTCAGGTTAGTCAAGAAGACATGTATGTCTGAGTTTGTGCACCCAGTTGTAGTCATCTAACTCAGAGTCATGTGTGGGACTGATCAAATATGGATGTCTGCAGCACAGAGCTCCAAATTTGAGATAGTCAGTGAAGGGTCCATCATAATCAGAAGAGGGTTTATGGGCTTTTAAGATCCTAATCCATCTGACTTGAATATAGGTCTGAAAATGAACCTCAATCTAACACTATATTTCTTTAAGTGTAGAAGGACTACTTCAGATGTAGTTGTTTCTCATCCCCATCTGGGTCTTCATGCATAAACCAGTAATTCCAGGAGGCAGGTCTTCTTCTGAATATGACTTCAGTGGTCAGAGCACTCAGGAAGCTGGAGAGATTCTGCTCAGTTTAAGGAGACTGCCCTAATAAATTTTGAATGTATGCTCTAAACGACACTAGAAGAGTAGCCAAGAATATTGCTAAATATATTCCTAAACATCAACAAGAAGAAGGAACTTGAAGAGTAAGCAATTAAAAGGGAGTTAAAAATAATTCTAGTCTCAATCAATTGGTTGTATTTCTACTTTTTTTCTTCTCAAGGCCCATCCGAAGTAAAAGAGACAAGAAAAGGTAAGAAGTCCAAAAAGGCCTTGGTAAAGTCAAAGGCAAGTCAACAGTTTCAAGTTCTTGTGTGAAAGTGATCCCTCGTATTTTAAAAAAGGGCCACACTGTGTTTTCACAAAACCCAGAGGACTTTAGTATACTCTAATTCTCTCTATGTAAGAAAATCAAACCTTCTCTAACAGGATTATTTTCCAATCAGAAATTATATCTTACCTCCCAATAAACAGAGTCATCAAAGCAATTTTCATCAGATGCTTGTCCCAAGAAGGGCAGCTTTAGAATGCTACCTGCAGAGAAATGGGTATCAGAGGTTAAAAAATGGACAATATGCCCCAAAATATATTTCTTGTATGTGTCCTGGGGAGTCATGTAAGTTTTTTGCCTTCTTCTCTAGCCTACAGAAATTTCCAGTCCTCCTGGGACATCATACCTCTTATTGTTGGAGGTGATGCAAGTGATTTAGGTTGCTGCATGTTAACATTGATGAAGGGTTGCTTTTAATTATATTAATCCTTCCCAGATTCTTTCCTGGCTTTTTTTTTTTTTTTTTTTTTTGCTTCAACATGAACTTTTATTTGGAAAGTATCCACTTTTTTTTGCTATGATGTGGGCTATGTCCTTAAGCAATCTGCACAAACACATTTCAGTTATCAGGCTTTGAATATCGTATTTGTCAGCTGCACAGTGCAGGTTTATCTGAGATCGGTGGCTCAGAACATATAAGTTTCCCTTTACATATACCAGAGTACCTGCACAAGTCCTACATTAGACTAAGGAATCCTCAGTTGAAGTCCATTTTTGGGGAGAATATGTTTAAGTGGTTTAGAGTACTGACCTGTGAATGATCCACCTGCCAGTGCCATTACGATTGTGCTGCCCAGGGCAGCAGCCTGCATGAGAGGAGTGAACTGGACGGCTGCCCTGAAAAGTACAGAAAAACAAAAACTGTGACACTCAGAGCCTGAACTTTTGTCTTACATCTCATTTCATGTTTGCTCTCTGCTGGACAGAATGGCCATCCTATCATCGCTGTGGCCAAGGCATAAACCATGTGAGATTGGTTTTATTTCAGCCTTCATTTAGAATAAAACTCAGCGTAAGTCTTTGAAAAGGTTATTAGTATCTTAGAAGCCTTCTGGGAATGTTCCTCTTTGCGAAAAAGACAATTTCATCTTCTTGTAGTTTTTGTTGTAAAAGAGTTCATAAAACTTTGTAAAAATCAATTTGCCAATTGATTTTTTTCTTGGATATTTTACAGCTGCCAGCAGTGTCATTGTAGAATCATGATAATGATTCTATTGTTTTTGATGCACTGTGCTGTGAGTTGTTGCTTTTTATGATTTTTTATTTTTTACCTGAGCTGTTAATTTGGAACAAACTTAGCATACAGACAGTGTATTAAAGGCAGGATATCAATAAGAGTTGTATTTAACCAGAAGACCATGTCTGGCATCAAACCAAACGTACAATTTGTGAAAATAAATCGTATTTAGATCCAAGGGAAAAAAAAAAAGCCTTCCCTAAAGGAAACTTCCTTCTCTCTTCTTTCTATAACTTACCTTCTTTCGTTTCTCACTGCAGTTGCAATGATGCCTGCAACACCTCCCAGTATTCCAGGTAAACCATGTAAATTATGGACTCCACAAGTGTCTTGAATGTGCAGCTTGGAGGCCATTAAAGGCTGAAATAAAAGGGAACACAAAGTTAATGGTGAAGTTATAGTCTTCCATTATCTGTAGAACAACAGGCAAAAGAAATAAAGAGAGAATAACAAGTAAACATGCTCCATATAGGTAAAGTTTGACTATGAAATCTTCTGTCTTCCCCTTCATTATGAAACTATGCACATGGAGAAAGCCATGTAGCTGAGCATAATGGCACAAATATGCAGTGTGCATTTGTAAGTATAATGGTATAAAACATGGTGGTTCTGTGATGCTCCTGATGTTTTCAGACACTGTAATAATGCTACTACAGACATTCTGGTTATGAGTCTACTAGGCTCTTATTTTATTCCAGAGTGTTTCTCCATCAGGAAATTCTAGTTTGTTGAAATCAAAGCAAGCAGCTCTACCATAAGGCACCAAAATTAGTCAGAACATTTTGCTTTGACATTTTGTGTATGAAACACTTTCACTTCAAAATTATTTTCCATTACAGATTTATTTAGAAATCTTAAAACTCTGAAATTTAATTAATACGGTTTCAATATTAATCTGAAGCACAGTTCTTCTGATGGAAATTCTTAAGGAAACATGGACCTTGGAGTAAAATTCTACCAGTTTCTTGAGACTGAAATCACAGGTTCAATGAACTTTAGTATCTATAGGATTAGTCTACATTTTTATCTAAATGATAAATTCAAGATGGTTCAGTGCCATATATTTAAATCACATTGATTTCAAAGTAAGTTAACTAGTATGTGCAGACTCTGTGTGTGCAGAATAAGACAATTACTAAAATTCCTTTGTAGTAAACCAAGTCGATGAAGCGATAAAGTTAATGAGAGCAGAGGCTGGTCCCACATACTTACAGTCAAGAACTTGAACCCAAGGACAGAGATGATTGCAGCAAAGCTCCCAATGCACATGGCAGCAAAAGGGTAGATTGACATGTCAGCGCAGGTGCCTATAGCTACTCCTCCTGCCAGCGTGGCATTTTGAATGAGAACCTGCACAGGATATACAGCAGTGAAGATGATATATGCGGCATAAACACTTTGGTGGGGGGGAGATCGGAATGACTTGTAAGATGTGCTTGCATTTGTTGTTGTTGTTAGGTAGGAATTGTCCAATTAATATTGAATACAAATTTAAAATGTATCTCCAGATTACGTAATTGTGGGTTTTGTTCAAAATACTCTAAGCCAGTTTAGCTTGGGTCTGCTATGGGCTTGTCCTCCATCCTGGCTTCTGACAGCAAAATCCCTGTCCTTTGTTTGTGAAGTTACTGAAATTCATCTAGACTTCTGCTAAGCCTGAGTCAACAAGATCAACATCCCACAAAAAAACCCTGAAATTCATTAGGCTGGAGTGCCTCATGTTGGGCTTAGATGAGCTCTGCAACATCTTGAAAGTGAAAACATGGATTTTAGATCAAGGAGAGGAAAGCATGGAATCCTGACACCTCCAAAGGCATTTGACTTTGGCTGCTGCGCAGCTGAACTCTTAGATATCAGGCCACTGGTCAGTGCCTTCAGAGAGTTATTTTAGCTATTTCAATAGAACAATTCATGTAAGAATTTATTAGGAATAAGGCCCCAAAGCCCACCTGAACTTTGGAGCAATTTGCCAATGGCTCTTGTCCACAGCTGGTTCTGTGGGCAAGCAAGAGCAAGGGAGCAGAAGTATAATGTCTGAGAGAATTGGATTTTCCAGCTGAGCTGATCCCACTAAGATAGCGCACACAAGGAGAGATGACTCATGGTCCAATCTGACATTGGCCCTTTTAGAAGCATATATTAGTGCTAATTTTGCCTAAAATATGAGGAAAGGCCCAAATAGCTCATAGATGTTGGATATCTACAGCATTTTCTTTACTTTATAGGGTTGACTCAATTTAACAGAGGGTTTGGCATGACTTACCATACTAAATTTGCCTCTCTCATCCACCAGGCTGGAAAGGGCAAATGTTACAACAGTACATGCAGCAAGGGAGTAGTAAGTGTTGACAATTGCTATAGTCCGGTGGCCTGAGTCATTTGCAATAGCAGAATTAAAACTGGGCCAAAACAACCAAAGGAATAGGGTGCCTGGATAAATACAAGACAAAAACAAACAAAGACTGTTCAGCCACAAGGAATATTTTAGTATGAAACATTCAATGCAAAAAAAACTATAGGATATCAGGAAGATTGTCATGAAACAAACAAAATCCTAGAAGAAATAAAAGATTTTGCAGAAGCTTTTGACTCTAGCATCTAGAATTGTGACACATGTTCTCTGTCAAATCTTACTGGATAACTTTAAGATATCTTAAGACGCCCTCACTGTGTTCCACCAACACCTCACTTGCAGAGCTCAAAATCTCTTTAAAACAGATGGCAGAACAGGATGTGTCCTGGTACAACACAGTTCACATACAATCTTTTATCACCTATTGTTATAACTCATCGTTTTAGCTGATATATTGGTCTATGGACTCATAGAGTCTTATTTTAGTATGAAACATTCAATGCAAAAGACACTATAGGATATCAGGAAGATTGTCATAGAGTCTCAGTGAGAAAAAGATGTATGTCCCTTTCATAAACTGTACATTTTGTACATTTATTAGAAGGACAAGAGACAGTTAAATATGGCACATTCTATGGAGATCCTGTTCGTAGTAGAAGTCACAAGAAGGGACTCTCCACCCATGCACAGTAAAAAGACATGTTTTATTTGATATTGATATTTAATATTTGGTCTTTTTATCCAAAGAAAAAAAATGTAAAAATATGGGTTTCGTTGAAAATTTGGTGCATGCGTCAAACAAAAAAGAAAATGACTGTAAGACTGTATGCAGAAAAAAATGGATGCAGCGTAAAAATAGGCAATATTAAAAACAAACTGAAAAAAAAAATGGACAACTAACCAGCACTTCTCTGTGCTTCTTGTACTTACCAATCATGGCAAATATATCAGAATGGTAGGTTGACTCTTCGTTATCATGCTTGTTTTTCAAGCCAGAACGATACAAGACTAGAGCTACAGCCAAACCAAAATAAGCTCCAAAAGCATGGATAGTCATTGAGGCTCCAACATCTGTGGCCTGCAACAGGAATCCAAAGCAATACCACAACTTTTAAATAGAGGAAAGGTGAGGATCTGATTAATAAGAAGTCTGGCTAACTCTCGTAGTTTATTTTCTGTGCTGGATAGCAGAATGAAAATAACACAAGGTGATATTTCACAAGGTGAAAGATCACTAATAAGAATGCACATGATGCTAGAATCTATATGAAACACTTTTTTATTGAAAATCTTTTTCAAGTGTGGTCTTCAAAATGTTTCATGACTCTTGTTTAATAGGATTAGGAAGAATTAGTGATCACTGGTGAAGGATCACTGTGGATTTTATGAGGGAATACAGTAAAAAGTGGAACAGATTTGAAAATCATTCAAAGCTTTTTATTACTCAAGTGCCTCTCTAGTTTAAAATGCAACATTCCTTGATTAGGCTTGACTATACTCTTAAGAACAGTATTTACTTATTTATTAAGAAAAATAAGATAGTTTAAGATCAGGGAGAAATTATTCCGAGATTTCTATAATCAAAAGCAAAATCAATGGAATAGATACAAGAGGATCTTTAGATATGGACACCAGTATGCTTTTAGCTTTCCTAGACATATACATTCGTATTTCCTGTAATGCTTTCTTTGAATACTTAGATGATACTCTTACTTTCATGAACATTTTTTAAATATATACTTAAAATTGCCATCATTTTTTGTCCAAAACAGGGCTTCTGGAGAATGTAGAAATATTGGGCAAGAGTTCTCTTTCTGATCTCTGAAACTGAGATTAAAGTCACTTCACCTTGCATCTAGGGGGAAGCAAAAATACTGGTGGTTCAGCCCAAATGTGCCATATAGACCAAAGCAGTATATTCAGGTGACATAAAGTAATGAAACATCTCAACGGGAAAAGCTGGACTGTAGAAGCAGAAGAGAAAAGGCTTGAGAAATACAATGTGAGAAGAGGTAGATGGCTGTGGAAGGCAAACCACCCAATATAGATTACTGTTTGTTATAACCAGGGGACATTTATTTCTAAATATTTGTACCTGAAGTACTTCTGTAACAACATATTCATTGCATGCAAATAATGTGATCTCCAAAATCGTCAAGGTCAGCATCTGAACTGGACTTGTTTTCCCCAGGAGGGCTCCAAATGAAATTAAAGCAGCTGCTGTGCTGAAGTCTGCATTTATCATGCTGAAGTTAAGAAAAGAAATTAAACAAAGACAAAAAAAATGCAGAAATAGATTTTTTTTTTCTGGAAATAAGATGGACTAAAACTTGCATCAGTAAAATGATAAATCTTTAACCATGAGGTTTAGAACTGTTAGGATACATTCTGCTCTTTGTGGACAAAATTAAAATCAAACCTTTCCTTTTTTAGGCAAGGACATCTTAACGCTTACTGAGGATAAAATGTAGGAAAGTTACCTTCTGCTTACACCATATTTGTGTGCAGCTAGTTGAAATTATGGTGAAGTAGAGACATTTTTGTGCCTGCTGGATACAGGAGAAGTATGGAGAGGTCCTGGTGCTGTGCTACTGAGAGGAACATATCAAGGTCCAGGTCTCCAGAGATTCAAAGGGGTCTCTCAACATGGCACATGGCCACCAATTGCTTACAGCCTCAATTTTATCCTGTTTTTCTTGGCCCAATATACTAGTGTTGACTCTCGAGAGGTGAAAGACTGATGAATGCTGAGTGCTGGGCAGTAATGCTGCATCAAATTTTAGTGAGATCATATATCTGATCTCACAACTGTTGTAGTTTTATGTTTTTTTCCCCCTGATATCTTAAGGGATAGATGGCCAATTTTGGAAATGTCACACATACCTTTTCATATTAATAATAATTTTCTCTCCTTTCATATGCCAAAATCCTTGCATTAGAGTGCCCCACTGCAGACCCAAGGCAGCAATGAGCATGTTGATGCCAACACTGCTGAATCCATATTTCTTCAGAAAGGTCATCAGGAAACCAAATCCAACAAATATCATCACATGGACATCCTGAAAGACTTAAGGGGAAAAAATATGTAAAGAGGGTCTATACAGATAGAGGAAAGCCAGGAACAAAGGAGGGTTTAATAGAAAAAAAAATGATTCCAAACTCATGTTGTCATTCACCCATATTTGATGATAAGCTACTTGTTGCACATTGAATGTTTTGAAAATTTGCAACCCAATAGCAGATTTATTACTAGCTGCACCATTCTCCAAAGATCACTAGTTCTATACTTGTACTAGGTAATTTAATATGCCTGGAACTCTCCTGGAATATAACAGCTCCCTGTCCATACAGCAGACTTTCCCCCTCAGATCGGAGTTGTCACCTCCAAAATGTTCTGACCTAACTCCAAAAGAATACACGATAATTTTCTGAAAACCTGCTAGTTTGCCAACAAAAAAAAGGATGCCTATGATTCAAACAATTTACTAATTAAAAAAAATATATTCTAATTGTTTTACCTGGGCAATTGTAATATTCTAAATGCTTTTGAGAACTAAACAAATATTAATATGGATAATCGACATATGCTTATACCTCCTTCAAACTCTTCTAATTGTTAAAATATGGCTAATTATTTCAACTACTTTTTTGATTTTTTTCATTTTTCTGACTTTTTAATACAAAATGAATTTATCATTTGATGTGGATATTATTTTCCATTTTAAGATATTTTGCTATTCTGAAATGTTTAACGTGATGTAATGATCTCTGAATCTACCAGATCTAAGTCCAGTAATTAAGATTTTTTTTCTGATTTTATTGTTAGTAAGAAGCTCAATAGAGAGAAATTTATTGTTCACATTTTTCTTTCATTGGACCTGAGATGCAAATATATAGGAAAAACTAAAATATTGTCCTACTAATGTTGTATTTGGCTTAAAGTATTTGCCAGTTGTGCTATTCTCATGTTTCCTCTAGTTTTGCTATATGCATTGCCATCTTTAGCCAAAAGAGGGCCCAAAAGTATAATAAATTACTGGAGATTCCTAATAAACCTTATTGTATTTGCATTGTGTCATGCTAGTTCTGATACGGCACTGAAATGCATACATACATACAAATAAGAATGTTTACACAGGGTTACAAACTTTTAAGAATTATGGTCTAAATATGCAGACATTCCCATAACTTTTGCTTCCTCTCCAGACAGGATTTTTCACATGTTTTTATTGACTTTGATAATAGCCAGTAATGAGGCTTTCTGAGACTCGTGTAGTCCACTGGAACTTCCATTTTCCATAATGTCACTCAATTTCCAGAACTATTTTCCAAAATTCTCTTTTGCACTTACTTTAAAGATATACAGCCAACTTAGCTCCCCTATTTGGACTACTTCTCCTTTAGTACCATTTGCTAATTTTGTATCTCAGAGCCAAATGAAAATACTCATCTTGCTTACCGTTCAACATTTTTATTTCCTTGCTTCAAAGAGTAGTGCAAGAAACTGAAAAGATATGTCTTGGGATGACATAAACCATGCTTAATCAGCCTTTCTGATATTCCCAGCAGCAAAATTTATATGCAGTCAAGAATTTTAAATAGTATAGTACACATTGTACTCAACAACATTGCCAAGGGTCCCATTATTTTGAGGATGGGGACACTATCTACAGCTCCCCTGGTGTCTGTTGGCAGTGTGGCGCTCAGCAGTTTAGATGGAGTCCTGAGCTTACAAGTGAGACAAAAATATGGTGGTGCGTCACATGAAAAAGATCTGAAATAACAGAAGGAGTAACCAGAGATTCTCCCTCCCCATTTTGTAGGATGTATGGAAACTGTATGCCTAACAAACCTTTTCTCCTCTTTTTAAAATAATTCTCTACCAGTGATTCGTCACCTGGTAATGTGTGGCATCTGCACCTTGACATATTAGAAATGACCAAGTTTATTGGACTGACTCTGGTAAAACTATTTTATAAAAGGCCTGTTAATAGTGTCAAATATGTGCAAAGAAGTAGATTGAAGTATAAATAGATGCAAAGAACTAGAGGGAATAATCTATAAAAGAAGCAGCTTCAACAACAGTAGTCTTTTTGTTTGGCTTTAATGGGTTAGATAAGCTATTAGCATAATGATTACAAAGAGATTTAGGACTTCAGCAGTTTAGATTATATCACAAAAATGTAGGGTGCACTTGAAAATGACCCATTGCTTATCTTTTTAGACTCTTAATACACCTAGATTACAGACTTTCTAGGAAAACCTAAGGAACAACCTGATCATTATTTGCACACAGCCACCTCTGCAGAGGAGAGTTCCTGCAGTGTATTAAAGAAGCCTACAATTTGTTAGACTTCAGTGTATTATTTTCTCTCTTTTTTTTTCTTTTTTTTTGTAATCTTCTGCTTAAGTCATTGCAGACAAAGCAAGTAAATTGCTCTCATCAAAAAAATGTATGCATGTTTACAACAATGCAAAGAATCATTTCTGTATTAGTAAAACATACTTTGCTGCTTAAGTAACTTGACATTAATTATGAACCAAAGAACAGTTTTCAAAAGCACCTTGATGACCAAGTAGTTTAATTATCAATGCCCATCAACAGGGCTTCTGCAGGTTCATGTCTTTTTTGAAAGATACTTTTGGAAATCTTACCCCCATCCCAAAAATGCAATTCTGTTGGAAACAAGTGGCTTGTTGACATGTAATTCTGGGGCCTCCTGACAGCTATCCAAGATTCATAGAAATGTTTCACAGCCATCTGGACTAATTTACACATCAGATTAAAAGTCCTAGTGAAAACTTGGTTAATTCATAGATATTAGGACAATTTTCACAAACCAAAGGTCTTGAATTTGTCAAGTATGGACCTTGTGCTTGAACTACCTCTTACACAATTTTTTTAAAGAACAGTAGGTCTGGAATGGTTTCAAATGATGGAGAAAACAGCACAAAATGAAATAAGCATTTTCAATGACTAATTGTATTTAATAAAATATAGCAGTTCTATTAATGGAGAAAATGACACAATGTGCAATAAACTGTTTCAATGACTAATTGTTTTTAATAAAATATAGCCCTTCCATTCTGTAAGACAGGAAGAGAAAGATTGGGGAAAATGCTCCAGCCAATCCTGGACAAAGCCAATGCACGCAATACTCCAAGGCCGTTCAAAGCTAATATATTAATTTCACTATATGGTATGATGGTCAGTCTCAATGCAAAGATGCTTGTGGAATTCAGGTTTATACTTAAATTATAACTTTACTTTGCTGAAAAAGCAGAAAACATCACAGAACAAGAAACCTTTCTGAGCATGGGGCATAAATCAGACACAGAACATTGCATCTTAGGTGCCACCTAGAAGTACTTGCAAAACCACTGCACACTGTTTTTCGCCCATTCCACCACACATAAAGTGTGTGGTATTCGCCATTCCTGTATTTAGATCCTCCAAAGACAGGTACGATGCAAAACCATATTCTGGGAATGATCTCAGCTCAGACCTCCTTGTTTAGGTAGAAAGCTATGCTGACTTTCAAGTGTTTTTTTGTCTTTATAAGGGATGTATCCAAAAATGCTGAAACAGCTTAGGTCCATGGTATGGGTGGATTTAATGTATACAAAAGCAGGCCTTGTTTTATAGATCTGGCAATATAAATTGGACTCTAGCTGAAGCAACTAAATCTACCATAGAATGAGGTATTAATTAACATCCCAGGGCTTTCTGAAGAAAGCATGTGAAACAGTTTGGCCCCATCATTTTGTTGGCTCAGAGGAAGTCCAGGCTCAGAATATGTCTCAATATATCATATATATATCAATATATCAATATATTGATATATATAACAATATATATCAATATATCATAGTCTTAACTCTTGGCAAGATATTCCTGCAAATTCTATTCTTTTATGTGCACTTTGTAGACAGGGATTTTTGAAAGAAGATAGTCTAAAAGTGAAAGCACAGATATCAGTAAATAGCACCTTTTATTTTTTTATTTATTTTTCCCGCTATTTTGCTGTGAATAGGACTCATTTAATCTTAGGTGAGCACCTAAAAGCCCAACATTATATCTAGCATGTTTCCGTAGTTTATATCCATACCAGTAAACTCAACAGCCCAAGATCTCTTCTCTGGCTGAAGGACAAATGACATGGCTTGACACACAACTACTCTTACATTTTGCAGCAGTATTCTCACCCCTGCCATTTACTGTGAATAGTCCCTTACTCATGCAATGTCTAAAGCCATGTGAAGGCAAGTTGGGAGACCTGGGTGCTGGTTTCCAGGAGTCAAAACCATGCCAGAAGCTTCCTAAGAGCTCAATAGTATGGATGACTGGGGGATAGGGTGTCAGTATAACCTACTCATACACTGCCTGTGAGCAGGGAAAGGCAGAAGTAGAGAGAGACAGAGAGAAGGGCAATTTTTCACATGTATCTATCTCAGGCACTAGTCTTGGGGAGATGAAGACTATAGATGACCTCTAACTCAATAAGCTATGCCTTAAGGCCTTTCTTTTTTTTAGAGTTAGGTGAGCAGAATCCTTTTTTTCCATGAATTGGATGATGATTATGCCATTTCTTTGCCCTCTTTTTAAAGTATAGAACTGAAATTGAAAAACAGGGCTCCATGCAAGGGCAAGGCCGAGGTTTTGTTTAACGCTAGAAGAGTTACCCCATTAGAAACTGAGTACCTGTGGTACTATGCATGGCTCAAACAGCCTCTGTCAAAAATAATCCAGAAGACTCATATTTTAGAAGAATTTTGCCTAATTCTTAGGTGTGTGCAACTTACTTTCATTTTCCGCCAGGAACTTACTTTCGTTTTCATTGGTAAGCAGGAGTCTAAGAAAGCCAGAGTACTAGAGCTCAAAATGATCATATTCCACCTGAAGAAGGTAGTTCTTGCCTATCAAATAGATCTGAACCTGAATCTGAGGGATATGTGGCCTAGATAACATCCTCGATAATGTTCTAGATAACAGCTGAAATAATACAAAAAAGGCAATACATACAAATGCACTACATACAGGTGAGGAATTCTGCATTGTTATGACCATCGTTAAAAGGATTCCAATCAGGGCATTTTTACAATATCGGATCCAAGAAGAGCAACAACAAACTTTCATTAGTGTAAGAAAGCCAGAGGATGTTCTTCTGCAAACTACTCTTGCTATTTATTCACCAGGGCCTGCTCTTTGCATAAGAAGCGAAGGGTGGGAGCAAGCAGCTACTGCTTTTCATGCCAAAAACATTCTCTCATGCCAAAAACATTCTGTCTAGCTGAGTCTTCTAAGCTATATCGTCTTTTTTCAGAAAGCTTGCTTAGGATTATTTTAAAGGACTTCTAACTACTATCAGCATTAGACAGCAATACTTACATGGGTATAGAGCATCCTGAGCATGATCACTGCTGTCGTATCCCACATATAAACTGAACATAATAATGATGGCCACTTCCAGAAGAAGAGCCAGGATAGAAAACTTGAACTTCATGTTGGTGTCAATGGCTGAAGGCATCGCGGGACAGCAGCAGGCTGTGAGAGCCTGATAGAGGGTTGCCTAAATCAGGGGATCTCGGTTATATAGCGAGAGAGAGACAAGAGAACCCCCGTCACACCCACTGTGGGAGGGAATAGTATAGGTCAGTATAGCAATTGCTGTTCCTCAGCTATTTCTATGTGTGAAATGCTGGATTACAAATTCTTATGTTTGTAATACAAAATAGTTCATTAATTCATGCATATACTTCTCAGTATCTTATATATATATATATATATATATATATATTATTTTCAAGGTAATAATAGCCTGGAAGAAAATCTTGCATCTTCTGATTTGCTGCACATAATGAGGAACACAACTGCTGCCTGTTGTGTTTCCCGCAGTCAATAATTTCTCCAAGTTGTAGCTTTAATTTTAAATAGGTAAATTATTTTTCATGCGATGTGAAATGTGGATAATTTCCTATCTCTTGGAAATAGGATAACTAAACAAAGTGAATTTGTTTCAGTAAAATGCAGAAGCACTTTCATTTCATACTGAATGAAATGTGCATAAATCCAGCACAAGTTGCTTAAAAAGAAAATAATTATGCTTCCTAAAAAGAAGAAAGGATATTTGTAGTTGCTGAAGAACAAAACTATAGAAGCTGTAGATTATTTTAAAAAAGAGAGAAACATGAAGAAGAACTTTATTTTTCAATTTTGATTTTTTTAAAAAAATTCACTTAGCTCAGACAATCAGATCAGAGATGAATGTTTTTAAAAGGTTTTAAAATGTAAACCTCAGTTTGTGAATATTCTCATGAATAAGGAGCACATTAAATTTCATCAGGATTAATAGGAGAATGATTATGTATTCTTGAATATTCATATTGCTTGTCAAACTTTCTGTAGAATCTTCAAAGTTTTGTATATATTGCTATAATACTGAGTATCTCTCCCTCTGATAATTCAGTATTCAGAATAGGACTAAAAATGTTTAAACATCATCAGTATATACACTTTTTTCAGGTAGAATTTCAATATTGAAGACCACATGGTAATATCAAAATGAAAATGGAAAGTCCAGTTCTTGAGCCAGAATACACCAGAAAAATAGTAGTAAATAATGAATGAAATAATTCCTTGATAATAATTCCTAAGTCTGTAGGACTTTTTATGTTGGGCAGAATTGTCTTTACATATTATGCAATTAACCAAAGTGCTAGGCATCTAGGAATAAAAATATAGACGAAAATTACATTGTAGGAGTAAGACACAAATATAAAAAGACTGATAGTATCACAGTAGAAAACGATTTGATCAAGTAGAAGCAGTGCTAGGATACAGGAATAAGCACCCATACCGACTGTTGGGAGTAAAACTGACATATTCTGCATCTGCTGGGAGATGATGCTATGCTGGGCTGCAGTCCTGGTGAAACTACTATTGGAAAGGGGCTCACACAGTTTATGAGACTTTAAAAAAAAAAAAGAAAAAGAGAATCAGGGTAAACCTAGGTACTGTTGCTCAGACCCTGGCACTATTCAGACCCTTGAAAAGGAGGAGTGGAAATGAAGATATTTTCAAATGGAAAGAAGATATTCAGCAAGGCAGATTTAACAATGTATTGCATTTGCAAAGCTAAAATGTTCACATTCATTTTTTTTTTCATTGTAGGAACTATATTTCATTTGTACAGTTAAAAGAGAGGAAGCAGAGCTTTCTTAAAAGCTGTACTGATCCTCCTTCCTGCACGACAGGATAAGGCAGACTCCAGTGTTTGACTGTAAGGAGCTGCTAACCACTTCATTTTTGCAGGAAGTGGTTAAAAAGGAGCAAAATCATGAATAAAATTAATTGTGTTTTACAAAAGTTTTTTTTTTTTTTTTTAATTCAACCATGAATATCTCAATTATTCCAAATTGAAAGGAATTTTCCCCTGGGACTTGTAATCTAAACACAATTACATTTTTTTTTTTGTTCATTATCTAATTATTCCTGAGTGAAAATCTCATATGCAGTAAATACAATGCTGAAGATTGTTAAATTATTTCAAGAGTGCTGAAAGGGCTCCTGGTTGATCTCTTATTGGGAAAAAGGACTATTTAAATTTAGAAATCAGTCAAACCAAGTTAATTTAAGCAGAATTGCCCAAGAGTATTTCACTATATCTTAAATTACATGTTGATTATAATTATTTGTTGAATATAATTATTTGGTGAGTAGCTCAGACTCACCCGTACAATTTTTAGAAACCTAAGTCAGGTGAGCCCACCCTTCTCATCTGAGAATCTCAAGAACTTGTCACGTGCATTCTTGTTTGCTCAGCAGTAATTCATCCCTGTGCACGTGCCCTGCGTGGTTAGTGGGACGGGGTCTTCTTCTCTGAGAATGTACAACAAAGCTGCGCTCCAATATATACATGTATGTATATGAGGCCGCATCTGGAGTATTGTG